AAAAAAAAAAAAAAAAAAAGAAGAACCACCATGGAGACATCGCCACGTTAAAATCTCTTTCTTTTGATAATTTCTGGTTTCCAGCTGACTGGATGAGTTTCTTCTGTCTAAAAATAGAAAATCAAATTAAAGTGTTATTAGTTTGCTTCATATTTAATACAATCCATTTTAACAAAGGTAGTGTTCTAAATCTTATGCCTTGGCATAATGTTAGCAGGACTTTAACGATTTTAGGAGTAGATGACAAACTTCTGGCATTATTCACATCAAGTAAAGATAAATGTGTTCATTATAAGTTCAGTTTATTCTTTTTATCTAAAATAAAATTTCTATTTAGATAATATGGCAGTACTAAAGGCTGATTCTAGAATTTACATAGCAATCTATTATTCACAGTTAAATGTGTATCATTTTCTCAGGCATCAATGAAACCGATACAGAAATCTAGGAGCAGATACTACTCAAGATGGCAAATACCTTAATGCTACAAATCTACAAGTACATCTTCCTTCGGACAACTAAGTGAGATGACACTTGCCAAACTAGTAGGATTCTTACCGCAGTATCATCCTCTCTGTACACTTTGATGGTTTTATCAGCTTCAGCTGTTAGTAGTCGACTTTCAGACTGGTCAAAAGCACAAGCAAATATTCCTGATTCACTGTCCAAAGACCCAGGCTGCACAGCTGCATGAACTCTCTGAAAATTGTAGCCAGTTCTCCAATCCCAAAGATGCATGGTGCCATTGTCAGCTGAAAGAGAAGATCTAATTTCACCTGGTATCCTTCAATAGCTGTGCTAGACAAACACGCAGGGAGAAGCCATCATACCATCATCCATACCATCTCAATAACTATAGTTATGAAGACAGTTAATACACAGGACTCAAGTTCCTCTTAATATTTGTCCTGGGTGTGGTGGCGCATGCCTGTATCCTAGCACTTGGGAGGCTGAGGCAGAGAGGATCACAAGTTTGAGGCTAGCATGGCCTATACAGCAAGTTCAAGACAAGTTTGGAGCACAAAGAAAGACTCTATCTTAAAAAGACTGAAGATTAAACAAAAAGAAATACTGGTCCATTTGTATTTATTTTAGGATTTCAAAAGAGATTTTTTTTAAAAAGCACCACAAAATTTGACTTCCAATTCCAGAATATCCATCCAAACTGTAGGCAATTCCCAGTATAAACTGCTAAGATTCATCACATGGGAACTCAAAAGGGCTAAACTGTAAAACATGAACTATGTTACACGTGTAGCATGTTTTGCTAGGATACTTTAAGCATGATGCCTCAGAAGCAGCACAAATGTCTACTCATCCATACACAAACAAAAACGACGAAACATTCAGCCATAACAGAAGTCTTTCTTTACCTCCAGATACAAGCACTCCATCGGAATTTACTGTCAATGTATTAATGATAGCATTATGACCAGAAAGATTCTGAATGAAACTTCCATCAGGGAATTTCCACTGCTTTATGTTATCCGGAGAACCAGATGCAAATGTGTAACTGAAATAAGATTAAAAAGAGTTCATAGGAGCATGAATCAAGGTAAATAAAATGGCAGATTCAAAAAGCTTACTGTTGTATTTTTCATATGTACACAATGCTTTCTGTAGTTTTAGCAAAAATAGTACTGTCACACAAGATGTAAAAATATCAAAACATTTGTTCCAAATTATATCCTTCTTTCAAAAATTTTAAATGTATTTTAAATTCTAGAGTAATGTTTTATTCATCTTACATCTCAATACTCTACACTGAGTAAATTAAATGTACAATTTCACATGAACACAAAATATCTTGTGATAGTTCTTGATAAAGGGCGAGAAGGAACATAGAAGGAAACAAAAGGAAGAAAGAGAAAGAAAAATGAAGGAGGAAAGAGGCAGAAGAGAAAGATGAATACAACCAGAAAAGTGCCAGGTGTGGCAGGATGTGACAAACAGTAGGCAGTGATATTATGTTCTCTTCCTTTGGATATTTGACTACAATGTTCGTGGTTCTTACTCTCTATGTATATTAACTCCTTCCTTAAGAATTATTCTATATATGTTCCAGTGTCCAATATCATTTATGCCCAAAACACAGCCAGCTGCTATTACCTTCTATTTTGACATGCAGCTTTTGACCATGATTTATTTATAGCATCTTGTTTGTCATTATGTAGAAGAATTTCCCCATTTTATAAAGGGAAGAAAGCAAAACAGTAATAAAGAAAAAATTACAGAAATGCACATCCATACGTGAGGCCTGGAAATGATAGCTAGCTAAATGACTGCCAGATGCAGTACTAATTTGACATTTTAGTACTATGCTAGGGCATGAAGAAAGACGAGAAGCCAATAAGGAAAACACTTACTGTCGGGGATGTAAAACCACAGCCCTGACTGACTTTTTATGATTTGTTAAAGTCACTCTTGTTTTTCCGGCCACCAAATCCCATAATCGTATTGTAGTGTCATGGCTTCCTGCAATGAAAGTACGCACATTCCCAAAACACGGATTAGGAAAACGTAAAAGTGGAATAAAATAAAATAAGAACCATTCTTCCAAATATATATGCATACCAAATCAAAATCCTATCATCTCTTGGCTAAATTCATCAGAATTCCAATATTCTAGGTTAATTTTAAATTTAATTCCTTAAGAACGAAATAAAGTGCTTGCCTGTCAACTGAACAGCAAGTATAAATGCAAATCATTAAGCAAGCACATGATTTTATTCTCCAGTGAAAAAGGTGAAATTCCAGCAGTACTTTTTTCAGTTAAAACACATAAAACATTTTCTAGTGTAAAAGATCTTTTTTTTTTGGTACCAGGGATTGAACTCGGGTCCTTGTGCTTGCAAGTCAGGCTACTGAACCGCTGAGCTAAATCCCCAGCCCTAAAGATCCATTAAAAACAAGATTCACGTAAATTTTAAAGGTTATTGGTCTCAGAATATTTGTCTTCTAACCTCAATCTCCTAGACTAATAATGTGTCACTGTAATATTTAGTCCCATGTAACAGCAATTTTCTAGCCATTCATGACAAGATACAGTGGTACCTCGGTTCGTGAATGCTTTTGTCTGTGAACAATTTCGTCCCAAACAGAAATGTTAGGCAAAATTTTGTTTTTCTTTGTGAACTCTGTATCGGATGAATGCAACAGTGGCCATTTTCCCCACAATTGCAGAATGAATTAAGTTTGTGAACCAAGTTAGCACTGTACTGTGTGACAGTTTCTATGCAAAAAATACTAAGAAAAAAACAAGTGGACAAAGTCTTACCATAAGTTTCAAGTGCTCTAGATTAAAATATATGACACAGAAACATTCTAAATACAACAAAAAGCAAGAGCCACAGTGAATATAAAAAGTTTATGAATGATTATAATCTAATATGAAAGGAACAAGTTGCAATTCCAAAAAGCACCCATCATACCAGTGATAATTTGTGGTTCCGCAGCTTGACACCTCACTGTAGCAACTGCATTTGTATGTCCAGATAATGTGTGTACACTGGCTTTAGTTCTCACATCCCAGATCTATAAAATACAACAGATATATTGTTAAAAAGGACAGGCACCATATTTCAGGTATTTAAATGGATCGATTTCCAGACAACTGTGCTTGAATCTCGTGAACTAAGTGCTCCCAGGAAATACAGGAACCTCTAAGCCGGAAGGGAATATAGGCAGGAGACAACTGCCAATGGCGAGTAGGGCAGGGGAGCAGGGTACTGAACCCTAATGGTACATGGGTACAACGGGACAACTGAATTAAAGACCTCATGGTTGTGAGAGACTGTAATACACTGGAACACGAGGTCACATTTTAAGGTCAAGGCAGTTAACAATAATAAGTACGGTGAGGTCACAGAACTAAAGACTATAGTGGTAAAATATATAAGCCAAGAAACTGAGGGAGCAGGGCACTACTGAGTCAAGCAACTATCTTTATTTTCCACCAATGAATGTAAGTCTCCAATGTCAAATGTATGTCACAAGTCGCAACACATCTGCACACAACACACAGTTCTATCACTGGCCTACCCGTGCAGTTGAGTCTCGACTACAGGTGACCAGCACATCAATTGTTGGATGCAAATCCAAACCATACACCGCACTTAGATGTCCATGGTAGTGTCTGATGACCTTAAAGTAGAAAAATTACAACTTCTGAAATTAGAATGATTAAAAACATGGCACCTAATATTTTAAGTTCTTAACCCCAGACTTACCTTATTATATTCCAGATCCCAGCATTTCACTTGTTTGTCTTCTCCACAAGAGAAGAGGTATGGGCTCCTCGTGCTTACTATCACGCCCCGCACTGTACTGATATGTCCAGTCAGTGACAGTTTTAACTTGCCACTAGCCAGGTCCCAGATCTTCAACCCAAGAATAAAAAGGCAAAGACAAAATGGGAAAATATTTGCCACAGATGACAAGGTTAGTACTCCTAATCTACAAAGGATATCACTGATAACAGTCTGTATATATAGTGTGCTTAAAAAACAATTGAAAATACAAAGTAAAAGTGTAAGGAAGTTCAACCTCTCTAGAAATTTTACATGAATGCTTTAAAAAGATTAAATATCAATTTTTGCTTGCCATACTAGCAGATATTTTTAAAGGGACACACAACACACTGAAGTAGAACCTCTCAAATATACTGCAGCGGTTAATTCCTAACTTTGGAAAGTAACTTCTACGTTAGATATCAGTCTCACAAATATTAGACCCAAAGATGCCATTTCTGGGAGCCTACCCTACAAAAATACACAGAGCTGCATGCACAAAGACTAATTATGGCATTATGTGTAAAAATGGGCAGCATCAAAATACAACTTCAATGTTCCACAACAGAAAAAAATTATAGACTATCTGAACTGTGTATTATGTAACCACTTAAAAGGGTATTAAGTTTTCACAAGAATATGCTCTTGATAAAATGTTAAGCTGAAAACAGCAAGATACAAAATTACATATCAAGAGTAATTTTTAAGATACACATTTATACACCCAGGGAAAGTGCTGAGAAGTAAATGCATTGCTAAATACATACACAGAAGTGCTAAAATAAAATTTAGCTAAGTATCTAATAGAGGTATGACTATGTATGGATCTAGGTTCTGTGACAGTTGTCTGTATCTTCAAATTTTCTATAGCTGAACATGCTTTAATTTCATAACCAGAGGAGGAAAAAAATTCCTTCAGAATCAAGAAATCAGTAGCAGCTAACATGTTTATAAAAAAACTATCACTTAAATACTACTTTTCACTAAGACGATAATTTTACTCAAATAAAAAATCAAACCAAAACAAAAAATAAGGGCTTGAAATACCAATCCCCCCCCCACCAAAACCTAATTTCTGCCATAGGAAATAACTTAAACAAGATTTAACTTAGGTGAAAAACACAAACTCATGTTGATTTTTTTCTTCCTTCCTTATTACCTTTATAGTTCTGTCAGCAGATCCAGTAACGAACCACTGATTTCCCGGTTCCACGGCGATACATCGCACCCAGCCAAGATGCCCACTGATGACCTGTGAGGAAGAACAGAGGGCAGGTGCACCCATGCACCAGGTCAAAGCTACTCGACTTTAACTGCCGTGCGACTTGGTACTGTCCTCCCCACATCTTCAAACTTCAACTTTATAGGATCTGACAACTGGATTTTAGAGAAACATTGCCATCTTCTTCAAGGGTGAAGAGACACAGAAATGGAAGTACAATATACAACAGAATATTCAGCAAGAAAAAGGAATGCATTACTGACCCAGCAACTCACAGAAGTCTCAAAAGCTTAAGTTGAGAAAAGGAAGTCACTCTCAAGAAGTACATGCTGTGCTCCTTCACTCGACAGTGACAGAGAACAGGTCAGCGGTTGCCAGGGGTGGAGGCGGGCAGAACTAAAAGAATCGCTGATTATGGGAGTGTTACTCCATTTCACATCTATTAAAATGTCAGACCTAAAATGAACCTAAAAAGTCTCTTACCATTCACTCATTTGAAAAAGAAGCCTGTTAGCTGTACATTTCCTACTACGTATTTTTTAATTTTAGATCTGATCATTTTGAATCACTTTCATTTATTGAAGTTGAAAGAATTGGTAGATCCAGTTTCTTTATAAGGTGCTCTTTCCTAAACTTTCATATTTAAATGCTTCGCTTGCCTAATTCATTTTGTCTGCCCTCCACATTTAGTAGTCTTCTATTGATGTTTCACTCCAAATCTTATATATAAAAAAACAGAAAGAAACAAAACAGTGCAGGTGGACAGCTTTTAATAGGAAAACCTCCTTCTCCAGGCACCTTTTCACATATTGCGTGAGCCCCTACGTATCCCACCTCAGCTCACTCTACTGGCTTCCCCGTTCACTCCTCCTCCGCTGTGTTCTGTTCTTCAGCCCCTGTCAAATGGAAAGCACCAATCTACACAGTGGGCTAAGATGCAGATTCACTCACCCTGTAGAGTTTCCACGGTGGGTGCCACTGGGGTTTGGGCATTGTAGGGGCTTTTTTAGCCATCAGTGCAGAGTTCTTGGTACTGCCAGTCTCCATAACCATCTAAATGTGAAATATATGATTACTGAAGCTATATATTGATACATGTTTAAGAAAGTATCATATTTAATGTTTCACATTATTAATTCAAAAGCTGAAATCAGGCTGGGGATTTGGCTGAGTGGTTCCGCCGCCTGCCTCACAAGAATGAGGGCCACAGTTGGATCCCCAATACCAAAAAAAAGAAGCTGAACTCAAAATAGGACTTATGAAAGGTTTTTTTCCCCCTTAAATGAAGAGGAAAAGAGTTAAATACTTTTTCACAAATAGAAAAATGAGCCAAAGACACCTAATTAATTTTATTTTTCTATAAATTACTTTTAAAAACCAAGTAAAAAACTGAAGAGAGCAGGAATATTAGTTAAGAGCAGACATCATAGTGTGTGAAGTTCAAAACCCAGATGTGCCAATTCCTGACTAACCAATCTTGGGCCTCATGCAGAATGTAGAATGGGAAGCAAAAGATTCCTGTCCGTTTTCTAATACAATATTTAAATGTGATTTAAAAGGCACATAGCTGATATAGGTTGAGCTTCCTTAACCCAAAAACCCAAAGTCTGAAATGCTCCACAATTTGAGTTCAATTGGGATTTTTGAATTTCAGATGAGGAACATTCAATAGGTAGTTTATGCAAAGATTCCAAAAGCCAAAAACAAATCTGAAACACTTCTGGTCCTATGTATGTCAAAAAAGGATAATCAACCATATTGTTCACATTCACTCACTAATAAAAAATATATATATATATTTAAGCCCATTAAGTTCTGCCCTCAAGAAGTTCAAATTACACCCTCCCAATGGCAAGAGAGATGTCCCCTGAATGGAAGATTAAAAAAAAGAAAAGAAATGTGGCATACGGGTTACAAATTCAGTCATGTTATCTGGCAAATTAATTCCCCTGTGAACGAGGGGGCAGAAGCCCACACTTACGAAATGATGCCATAAAAAAGCATATGGCACACTGTCGGTTATTCTTTCTGCAGTACTTTCAACAGTGCTAAGGGCAGCTGCCACTTATTCGTAAGTACACATTTTTCTCAGTGCTCATTTGAAGACACTGGCTGCACAACCCATGGATGTTATACAAATAGCACTCAACTGTAACTACACACCAACTTACAGCTCAAATGAGAGATTTACATAGCGAACACACACTAACGCAGGCAGAAAACACTCCTTGTAGTTTTAATCCTGGAGAGTAAATATCAACATCACATTATCTTCATCAAAATATACACTATGTACAGTGTGCAAGCAGACACAGAAATAACAGGGCTTCATACGCTGAAAATTAAAATCAATTTACTGAAGACTTAAGATACAAGCTGCTATTTACATTAACAAATTCCAACAAGTGACCATTTCTTGATTAAGGTAAAACTTGGGATAAAAAGAATGAGATGACATATTTGAAAAGGCCATAGCGCTATTAGACACAAGAAACTTACCGAATTCACCCCTGCAGGCTGTGAGCGTTCCGAAGCCCCACGGTATTCATTCCCACCAGGTGCAGTACGATTTGTATCACTCCTGAGGAAAAAGGAATACCACACAGGAAGGAAATAATGCCTCCAATGCATTTGGCAAAACCTAGCCTTTAATTTTGCAAACTTTAATTAAAAAATACTATATAATACACAGTTGTAAAGAAACAAATTTAGAAATGAAAAAAAAAAAATAAAAAAACCAAACATAAATGGTGAAATGGTGAAATATGCTTTCAAGATCTTTTCAATTCATTCTCTTACCTGGCCTGCGGAGAAGGTAATGCCACTGCTAAGGACTGTGCAGCAGACTCACTCGGCATTCTTTGGACTTTAGTATCTGCTGTCAAAGCCACCCCTATTAAAAATAAAAGCATTCCTATTGATAGCTATTTTTGCTCTCATTTACATGCATTTAAAATATGAAGAGAAAATGTGACAGACGACTATCTCCAGGTAGGGCAATTACGGCAATTTTGATTAAATTTTGCTTCTAATTTTTTATAATAAATACTGATTGACATTTGATCTGATTATAACTGCCCATTATTAAAGTGTCCAAGACAAAGTTCTTATTAAATTCAGATATAGCTTTAAAAGCAAAAATAAAGTAGCTACTCAACTATCAGGTTTCCAAGGGTGAATGTTACTACAACAAAAAGAACACTATTTCCCTAAACTTCCCATGAATACTAAGTCTTTTGTCCTCTCACCTACTATACCAGCCACACCATTTCTGTAGCAACCTGTGTATGACAGACACACACCCCCAGCACACTTCAACCACACCTGCTTCTAAACTAACACTACCATCTTTTTAAGTTTAGGTATTTGCATGCCTGCCTCTACTACTACATTATAAGCTTAACTTGGCCTGGAGCAGCTTGAAAAAAATAGGAGCCAACAAAGTATTTTATTTTCAATCCATAACAGCTCACTTACCAGGTCCTGGTGGGTATGGATGCGTCCCTGTAACTACATATTCAACCTCTTGTCCTAAAACAGAGAATTTATCTTATAGTCGAGTATCCTTTTAAATGACACATTAATTGCATTTCTCTTTCCCTACTAAATTCAAGCCTCAACAATGAAGAAAGTGGAGTTGTTTGGTCTTAAAATCTAGGCACCCAGCAGCTATTTCTTTGCCCATTAATTGATTAAGAGGTGAGAAGCTCATGAATTTACTCCTACACAGCAATAGTATATAAAGATTTTCCTAAGCAACAATCCACTCTGGTTTTCCTTCTAAGAAAATAGGTTCTATGGAGTATTGCAGTTTCTATTCATTGCAATTGCAGTACTTAGTTTTATTTTGTGAATTACAGCCATGATAGAAGGTCTCCCCACAGGTTAGAAATGTTCTCTAAATTTTTCCTTTAGTCTCCATTGTGACCTCTACACCCCAATTCTCCCATCTTAACACTAATATACTTTATTTCCAATAAGAAAAAGCGCATCAACAAATTACATTATTTCAGTTACTATTCCTATGAGTAAGCCAAGACTTCCATGGTAACAGTCTTCTACTTGTAAAATACTTTAAGACCTCAATTCATGCTTCCAGGAGGAGAAGCATTTAATAAGACATTTTGCTTTTCTATTTTTAAGAATTCACATATAAACCCTGGCATTTCTGAGTAGCCCTATACTCACCTTGACTGGCAGGATACTGTTTTTGACCATATGAATCCGGTGCATTCTGAGGGCCCTTCTCTTTAAGATTTTCTTTTGAAGTAGGCATATGCAATACAGGACCATACTCATTATGAAGCTTGATTGCCATTTTTCGCTTGTGACTATTTAGAAATTATAAACATAAGACGTACTCTTAAATATTCTAGATATAATCAACAATTCAAATGTTTACAGATAGCCAAGAAACAAGTACTTAAATAGCTTGTTTTCCTAGTCATGCAGAAAATGTTTCCAGTAAGACTTTGAAATTAAATAGTATTTTAAGAAATCAAAAACTTTCAATTTCATCATCTCTACACCATATGTATTTTTGCTCAAATACCACCATAAAGTATTCATAATGTCTAATATTTTAGCCTGTTACCTAACATAAAACCTTTCATGGTGAGTTCCCAAGGGTTCAACTGACCTAGACATAGAAACAATATATGCCCTTAAAAATCTCAAAATCAATGTATTTGCTTTAAAAAAAAAAATACACACACACACACACACACACACACACACACACATACACACATATACAAACTATATATGTAGTAAAAACATCTACAGCAACCTTCATCAGATGTATCCAAAAAAGTCAGTTAGAACTATTTAACTCAATATTGTAAAAAGAAATGCACTTAAACCACTTTTAAGAAGAGTGTACCTTATAAATGAAATATAAATGCTCATTTGTGTAGATCTTAAAAGATTTACGGGTAAAGGACAAAGAAGGAACACAGCACACATGCAATCCCAGACTAGAGATAGATATGTAGAAACAAAACTATGCTAACACTCAAAAATCTTTTTCATCATACTAATGAGAAAAGATGGGAGTAGAGTTACTGGCCAGGTGCAATTTCAGCTCAGCAAGGCTCTGAGAGGAGCAGGAAGCTGAAAGCACATAGTGATTGATTATAAACTAAAATACCTAGAAAGGACTCTAATTACTGGACATTTATGAAATGTAATTAATTAATGGGACACTGTGTTACTTTTCTCTCCTTGTTAAGAAAAAATACCTGACATCCAATGTTGAAGGGGAAAAAGTTTATTTGGTTGACAGTTTATAGAGGTTTCAGTCTATGATCAGCTGGCTCCAATTCTTGGAGAAGAGAAACAATACGGTGCACACAAGGCAGCAAAGGCAACAAAAGCATTCAACAGCATTTTCTGTCCCTTTTATCTTATGCAGTCCACCAGAATAAGAGCGGTGCCAAACTAATCACTCTGTGTGTATAGTGGTTTAATAATCACACACCCTTAAGCCCAGCATCACACATTCCAGATTCAGCTACTTCTGAAAATGAAAATCTCACCTCATCGGCATGAGGCTTTAGGGGGACATCTAAACACAAACCATAACATTCCACCCCTGGTCGCCTGCAAAGACTCACATATATCCCTTTATGCAAAAAAGCATTTAGTCCATCTGTAAGAGTTGCCAAAGTCCTAATAGTTTCAGGATTGCTGAAAAGTCCAAGTCCCAAGTCCTCTGAGATTTAAGGCAAACTCTTAGCTGCAAGCCCGTGTACAAATGAAAAGAAAGTCAAACACTTCCAACATTTAATGGCATAAGGTACACATTACTATTCCAAAAGGTACAAACAGGAGGATTCAAAGGAATGGGGCCAAAGCAAGTCCAAATTCAAGCAGGCCAAACATTACATTTCACAGCTCCACTTTCAGCATTTGAGGCAATCTGTGGCAAGCTGTGAACTCCAAAGGGCTTGGATGGCCCTGCCCTTGCAGCACCTCTGGTGTTTGGAGCTCCATAGCTTTCTTCTTAGGCTGGCTCTGCTCTCTCCTTGCAGTTTCCCTCAGCTGATCCATGCTCTTGGCTTCTCCAAACTTCTGGGGTTTACAAAGCACCTTCACATTTTCACATAGTGCCCTCTCACGGGCACATTGTATGGCCTTGCAGGCCTTCTTCTGAAATCTGGGTGGAAGCTTTCCTGACCCAGTGTCTCACGGATGATACCAAGGTTGGTTGCCAGCTGGAGCTGTAGCCAGACTTCCTTCTCTCTTGACTGTTAAGGGTTGAGTGCCTGGATAGATGAGTACTCTGAACCCAATCCCGAGGAACACATTCTCTAGGCTGCCACCATTCTGGAGCACGGTGCTCTGGGGCTTTCTTCTCAAAGCAAATTTTTTCACCTTTGTAACTCTGAGGCTAAAAATGGTGAAGTTGTCCTGCTTTTTGTGATGCCCTCAGGCCATCATTTTATTCTCCAGTTCCTCCCAGCAATCATGAACTCCTCTGCAATATCTTTGCAGTCCAAAGCTTTGCTGCAGCTTCCTTTCTGGCCAAGCTCAAAATGTTTTAAATCATTTTTCTGGGCTTTTTACTCTGGAATCTTAATATAGATCTCGCTAAAAGCCCCCAACAGTAGCCATGCCACCACCTCAATATTCGACTGTCTTGAAATTTGTTCTGCCAGATTAATTAGTCCACTGCCCCTAATCTCAGTCTCAGGCAAAGTCTTTGGACAAGAACAAAATGCTGACAAACTTTCTACCAAGCCATAACACACATCGCCTGGAGTCCTACAGCCAATTCAGTCCTTCCTAGAAAAAATTTCCTGACCCTGGTCTTTACCAGCTTTCTGGTCTTTTGAGTTCTGACCAGAAACTCCCATATATAATAGCCTAAGGCCTTCCAGGTCTACTTCCATCGCCAACGTCTCTGAGTATTTCCTAACTCTTCCCCTTCCCACATACTAGTTCCAAAGGGTTTTGAGCCACATTGCCAGGTAATGTTACAGCAACGACCCCACTACTCTGGTACCAAATTTCTCTTTTAGTTACCTTTCTCTTGTTGCTGAGACAAAATAACAGACAACTGTTTGCAGAAGTTTTAGTCCATAATATGCTGATTCCAAGGCTGGCATGGCAAACAAGCATCAGAGAGGAGAAACAACATGGCCAGCACAAGGTAGCAAAGGCAACAAGGAAGTTTAACAGCATCTTTCTGCCCCTTTTATTCAGACTACCAGGATTAGGGAAGTGCCAAAGTAATCATTCATGTGTAAATGGTTTAGTAATCACATGCCCTTAAGCCCAGCATCACACATTCCAGATTCAGCCACCTATGAAAAAAGCCCCACCTCACCTGCATGAGGCTTTGGGAGAACATCTAAACACAAACCTAACATACTTTAAAGTAAAATATAAGGCAAAAAAAAAAAGAGGTTAAATCAGTTTAAATTATGCCAGAACACCACTCATTACTGAGTAAGCAATCTCTGTATTACTTTTAAGACATTTAAAGATTTCCCTCTTTCTGCTCTCTTCCCTCAATATCAGAATTTTTAAAATTTAGCAACTAAAAAGAACTATACCTACCTCTCTTCATCCAAAGGCACAGGTTTTCCATTATCAGCTACAAACATGTCATGGGTCCTTTTCAATGACCTGAACACAAGTGTGTGTACAGAATGTTTCTGTACCTCCTAAAAAGAAAGAGGGCAATCACACATTTAGCTGCAAATTACTCATATTATAACCTGAATGAGTCAAATTATATAATTTCCATATTTAAGTATGTAAAAAGTTTCATACCATCCACTACAGTTACTTGTAGCAAACTAAGAGGAGAGGAGAAAACTTCTCTTTCCTCAGAGCCCTGGGTATAGCAAGTAAATAATGTTTTATTCAGCAAATACTGAGCTTGTACTATGCGAGTGGCAGGTATTGTGCTAGATGCTAACAAAAGATGATGAAAAGGCAACCATGGTCCTCATGCTCCAGGGACAACAGACAAAAAAGCAAAGTAACACTACATTTTGCTATGAAAACAAGCAAGGGTTTAAACAGAAAAGTGAAGAAAGGACTAGGATTATGAAAGATCAGTCTGAAGTTGTATTTACACAGGAAAGAAGAAAACCTGACACAGAATAGAGATAAGAAGAATCCAGAGGCCTTGTGAGAAGGCGATGAGTAACTGAAAGAACTCCAGAAATGCAGTACAGCTGTGCGGGCTGGGAGAGATGGGCTGTAGTTTATGAGACCACAAGGGGTTCAGACATGCCATGGTCTTTCAAGCCATTACAACAACCTATATTTTTATTCTAGTAACAGGGCCAGTAAAGGGTTTTAAGCAAGAAAAGCCAATTTACGTTTTGAATAGTACAAGTTATAGGAAAACAAAAAGGAAACAAAGAGACCAGCATTAGAAGCTAATGCAGCATCTGTTCAAGGAAGAGATGCTGAGGGACTGATAGTAGGCGGCTGTGTTGCGTGTGGAGGAGTGGGGTGGAACCAGGGAATGTTTGGGATGAGTCGAAGTGGGCCCGCTAACAGAGTGGTTGTTCAGGTTAGGGAACGAAGTAAAAATTCGACACGGAGGTTTTCCTGGGCCGCAGCCGAAAGCGCTGCCCTTCTGGGACACCGCCGTGGCACGACCTCAGCCGCTGCGAGGGCCAGGGCTCCAACAGCAGCAGAAGCCCCGGCTCCCTGGGGCCAAAGACCTGCAGGCATCCCCTCGGGCTTCCCGCCTGGACTATCCTCCGAAGCGGGTTCTCATCGGACCTCGTTTCCTCCCCGAAAGCCTCACGAAGCGACCACCGGGCAGGGCCAAGCAGTTCCCTCGCAGCCTCTCCGCTCCCCCAGATTTCCAGCACTCCCCATCTCCCACGGCCGCTGCAAGGCAAAACAGTACACAGACAAATGACCCCTGGGCACTCAATGTCACTGTACCTCGACCATGACTCTGCCGTGTAGCCCACCCCTCTGGCAGCAGAGCAACACTAGTCACCGCGGAGAACCTGGCGCCGCCACCACCGCCACTATGCAGCCCCTTCCGGAATCGGAACCCGACCGCCGGAAGTGACGCCTCCGCGCAAGCGCACTGGCCACCTGGGCCTTCTGGGGTTGTGGGCCGGCCTACTTCCTGCGGCCGCCTCAGAGGCGGAGTGTGAGTAAGGCCCCGCCTCAGCAGTCTGTTCTGAGGGGTCAGCAGCGCTTTCTTCTTGAGTCCCAGCCTTTCCTTTCTTGGTCTGGGGTCTTGGTAGTTTGTGCTGTGTTTCCCGGATGCGTAGAGCTCAGTCAGTCCTGAGGCGGGTGCGGAGCGCGGTCCCTGAAGGACGCGGTCTCGGCCTCTTGTCGCCTCGTTCCGACGCTGGGTCTGCAGCACTTTAGGGCTGCTGTAGTTTCAGCGCCCAAGGCTCTCCCAATGCAGCCCTGTAAACACTTCTTGAGTATTTCATTTTGAGAAATGTTGCCATATAGGTGAGCAAGAATAATTGGATTAATAGGTAATGTGCGGAATGGGAAAATAATTTCCCCAGAAGGTGGTGCTATGCCATTAACTATTACAGAGGATAGGTTTCCAATTTAGGGCTGTGGAGTACTGTATTTCTGTGCTCTTGGATTCTGGCCTCTAGCTCTAATCAGCCCTGTAAGGACACTCTACATAAAATCTATTCACAGTGCAATCCCGCAGATTACTCCAAGCAGCGTAGGATGTTCAGCAGCACTGGGAGATGCATTTCACAGAATGTATTAATGGGCAAAAGTTACTGGACAGTCTACCCTCCAATCTGGTGCCACGAAATATGAAATAAGTGGAATTATTACCCTCATTTTATATTAATCAGGTGAAAGACCCAATAGCGAGGACTTTGTACCTGAAATATCGTTTATTATTGTCTATTGTTCATATTCATATCTAACCTTTATCTGCAGGCTTCTTTATTTTCACACAGTGTTTTCTCTTGGAAACTCTCCTTATCGCCATTGATTCACCATTAGCTCTCCATGCCAAGCTCTGTCTCCACCATTCTCATGCAACAGCCCCTCAGAAGTCTCCTGTCTCCCACACTTAAGCTGTCAGAAACTGGACTCATCATTTTCTCTACCCAAAGCAACTTATCCTCTCATTTCTCTATTAATCTTAGTGGTCTCCCGTCTTTCCTGTTTCTCAGAGTTATCTTGGACTCTTCCTCCCTCCACTCCCTCATAATCCATTTTTTCCCTAAGTCTAACCTATGTTATTTTTGCCAAGGGATTGAATCTCTTCAAAGTATTTCGTGGACACCTACTATGTGCATGGGCTTATAGGATGTAGGAGGCATTGTGGTTTGGTATCAGTCAGTGGTTTTATTCTTTGACTGGCAAGTGTGACTCCTCCCAGGTGCTGAGTGACCAGGCAGTTCTACCTCACTACACATGGTGATAAACTGGGGAAGTTTTGGAGAACCATAGGGGTCCAGGGGTTCCCTCACAGTTCCTCTGATTCAGTAGATCAGCAGAGGGGCTGAAGACAGTGGATGTTTTTGTTTTTTATTTTGTTTTGTTTATTGTACTGAGGATTGAACCAAAGAACTTCACACTCAAATAGATATTTGGCCCTTTTAAAAAATTTTAAATTTTAAAACAGTCTTGCTAAGTTGCTAACTTGCTCTAGCTGGCCTTGAGCTTGGGATCCACCTGCCTCAACCTCTCAAAGTGCTAGTATTCCCTGATGCTGTGCATGTCTGTATGTTTTAACAACATAAATAAGGAACATTTTAAGAAATATTTTAAGAAATAGTCATGTTCAAGAAAGTTAATTTTTTTTTTAAACTGGGGATTGAACTTGGGACCTTGTGCCTTCTGAGGCAGGCAGCAGAACCACTAAGCTTAACCCCAAACCCCTGAGAAACTCTTAAGTTTTTGGTGTAAAAACTGAAATATTGTTTTTACTCTATTACAATGCTTTATTTAATCAGTCTTAAATTGGCCACTCAATTTGTATCTGATCTCATAATTCTCTCCCTAGAACTGTTTTTAAAAATTATGTCCTTAGATGCTATCCTTGATTTCCAGTTTTATCTCATTTAAATTCTGTCTTGGTAGTAATGGTCAGGAAACAGGGAAAGATTCCTTGAATGGAAGAAGGAAGCCTCATAGTTGACCCTAGGAGAGAGGGGTAGCAAGTCCATTCCCTCAGTATAAAACTAGAGCAGCCTGAGATGCAGTATGGACTGCATCGAGCAGTAGGAGAGAGTGGGCTGGGTGTCCCAGAACCTACATGTTCCACTGATGCCCATTTGCTGACTTGGGCCAAGGCAAGGGAGCTGATCAGAAACACAGGAACAAGGCAGGCATAGTGGGGAAAGGGGCAGGTGAAGGCCACCTGGCTTTCTTCTGATCCACTCCAGCCCTAGTCTCTTGTGTTCTAGGCCATCTCACGTTGGTGCAAATGCTTGACAGAGCTCTAAAGCAAAATTCCCTGACCACGTTCCTTTCCCCATCTAGAATTTTCCTTTCCCTTTGTTAAGGTGAATGATTTTCTCATGGCCCACCCATTCCAGGTAAGCAGGAGCAGCTCACAGGCCTACATGTGGTCTTTTCTCCTTGGCCTTGCACAGAGAAATCAAGAGAAGGAAGGACCAGTGGCTCCCAGAAGCTTTCTTACCGTTGTGGCTTATCTTATGGATGTCATTCAAACACAGGGTTATATAAAAATACCACATAGTTCTGCTTTTCTTTCCAAAAATTAAATGCATATAAAGGCCCCTTTGATAAAAATCACAGTGAAGCCAGATGTAGTGGTGCACACCTATAATCCCAGTACTTTGGGAGACTGAAGCAAGAGGATCACAAGTTCAGGCCCAGCCTGGGCAACTTGGAAACCCTGTGTGATAATAAAACATTAAAAATGGCTGTTCCAGCAAGGGGAATGCAGTCGGGTCCATTGTGACAGCTGTGAGTGATTGGGTAACTTCAAGTCCTCAATGGCAGCAAAATATATCTTCTAAATCCATATGGTAATCTCAGTAACTTTGGTTGATTGAGAGATAAATACAATGAACTAAGTTCTAAAATTCATTCCCAGCTTTTAATAGCATATACTATAGAACAAGTGTTTTGGTTTACATACGAATAAGTTTCTTATTTCCACTTTCAAGACCCTTTTAGTCCAAAACATATGGAAACATGCTTTCAAGAGCCAGTGTCTCCTGCTCTCTATAACACATTCATAGGGAGGAATCTTTAACATGAATGAAGTGACAAAAATACTTTAGAAAAATTTTAGAAATCAGAGAATGAAACAAGGTCAATCTTAATATCATAATGATACTTGGCATTTTATAATGTCTCCATTAAAATTGTGAAAGATCTGACTCAAACAGTTGATTTATTGAAATAAATTTAAAACAAAATAATTAGATTCATCTCAGCCTAAAACAAGTCAATTTATATTGAGATGAGGAGCTTAGGGAAGGTATTGAGAGTGCTGGGATGTGGCTATGAATGGATCCAGTGTTAAAATCCTCTTGAAATTTATGTTAGGTCTCTAATTCACATCATAAGAGTGTGGTACTAGAGTTTGACCAGATGCTCCTTACTTTGAATTCAATACCTATCTCTGGAGAAAAAGCTCTCTGAGCTTCTTTACTAATTAAGATTTCCTGTTGAAGCTTTGAGAAAATCATTTCCATTTTTAGTTTTTCAGATTTCTTAAATTTTATGTGTCAGTCACTGGGTATCGGAAAATGTAAGCCTCATAAATATTCCAAATTAATTTTAGAAATTTAAGATCCAATATTAGCATGTGGAAGATGTTGTTGGATAATGTTAGGTTGATGTTTCTAGAGAGCTGGAAGAATGGGGTAGTGGGTGGGAATCTATTCTTAAGCTTAGAATCTGAACTGTCAGGGCAGATTGAGATCAGTACTTACTCCTCTTTTGAGTCCTTATAATTTGCTTTGCCACAGACCAGTTGAGAAAAGGGTCTCAAAGTAGAAATAAAGCTTGTTTTCACGTAAGCCTCACCAGTTGGTCATATATGCTATTAAAGGCTGAGAAAGAATTTTAGAACTTAGTTTATTGTACTTGTCTTCCAATCAAGCCACGATTACTGAGACTACCATATGATTGTTTAAAAGATACATTTGTTATATTTGGAAATTTGAAGTTACTAAATCATTAACAGCTGTCAAGATAGAAAAGCCCAAATGTCTTTGGAAGTTAGTTCTTTGCAGTGAGGGAATTTGTAGATTTTCTGGTTCAGCCCATTTGATGAGAAGAATAGCACAAACACGTTAGCTGGTTTTACAGAATGAATAATTTTACCAGAGTGTGATATTGTTGAGATTGAAGCTAAATTTAAAAGGCTTAATATTTTTCATCAGCCGAAAAGAAAATAGACAAAGAACGTAACAGCAGGCATGGTGGTGCACTCCTAGGATCCCAGCATGTTGGGAATCTCAGGCATGAGGACAGCAAGTTCAAGCCCAGCCTGGGAAGCTTAGTGACCTAGCAAGATCCTGTCTTAAAATTTAAAAAGGGCTGGAGACATAGCTCATTGCAAAGGCCCTGAGTTCAATCCGCAGTACTCAAAAGAAAAAAAGTCACAATGCCTGTCTCTGTTCCTCCAGATGCTAATGGAGGGACACCTTGCACCAGTTCAGTAACTGCCTCATGTATTGTGCTATGTGATTGCCTTGCTGCCCTGTGAACAAGTTTTGCTGGGAGGAATGTTTTCCAGGCGAGTCTAATTTGTCTTCCCTTTCTTGACTGACATTATAAATCGCTTCATGCTCATGTATCAAATTTAATTTTAATATTTAATTTTAATGTTTTAGCAATATTTACAGTTAGTAACATTTTAGTAAAATATATTGTATCTACATATAATAAAATGTATGTATAAATTTATAAGTATTGAATTACTGTTTTCAGTGCTTCAGATAACAGCAGATAAATCCTTCCCTTCATCTTGAGTTTACATAAAGTTCATTTTACTTAATATATCATGTGATTATAACAATATTTTGAAATTTTTATGAGATCACGATCCCTAAGTTCCATTTAGAAATATGGT